ACTTCACATTTTAAAATATCTCACCCTTTAACTTGATCAAATTACTTAGGGATGCAGAGTGGGGGCACAATGCCCAGCACCCACCGCATGCGCACAGCACGAGGGCCTGCCATCACTCCCTCATCTGCTCCCTGTCTGCCCGTGGATCTGACAAGACGGACTCTCCTTCCAACTGCCAGATCCAGAAAGTTTACATTTCAGCTTCTCCTTTCTCCCCTGTCCAATCACAAACTGGCCTCCCGTTTGTACTATACTCTCGAACCTTCCATGAGGAGCTCCTCCCAGTGGACATTTCCTTCTCTTAAACATGAGCCCACTGTGGCTGCAATAGAGACTCTGTTTAGGAAACCAAGAGGGGGATGCCTGGGTGGCTCAGTGGTTGAGCATCTGCCTTTGGCCCAGGGCGTGATCCTGGAGTCCTGGGATCGAGTCCCACATTGGGCTCCCTGCATGGAGCTTGCTTCTCCCTCTGCCTGTGTCTCTGCCTCTCTCTCTGTGTGACTCTCATAAGTAAATAAATAAAATCTTTAAAAAAAAAAAAAAAGGAAACCAAGAGGAACGCTTATAGGGAGAGGGGAAAGCTCTGTCTCTGCCCATGTGGGGGTTCATGAAGCCCACCATAGGGAAGGAAAGATAAGGTTTTCAGAGACTTTGTAGAGCACGACTTGGCAAAGACAAAAGCTAGAACAGAGAAGCTACAAAGATTTCTAAAGTTTGTCTCTGGGTGATTAAATGTAGACATCAAAAAAGGAAAGAGCTTGGAGGAAGAGATTACTCATATCTTAAATACCTGGACACAGAGCTGCTTCTCATAGTGTTGGAACCACTCTCAGAGAATGTGCTTATCACACAAATAGGAAATGCTGAGTAAGTGATGAAAGAATGAGTGGATGGATGGATGAATGGATTGTGTCAGGAAGCAATCCATGGAAAATGTCTTACATCTTAAATATTTACCTTCCTGGTTAACTTCCTGCCATGACACTTCCTGGTTTATTACATGCTGGAGCAGCTTGTCCCCTTGTCTCTAGGAAAACCCTGGAGTATAAATACCTGCCAGTCGTGTAGCCCGCAGCAGACCCAGCACCTCGTTCCTGACCTGTGGTCTGTTAGAAATCCATGAAAACACCCAGAACACGGACTGATCCAGATGTCAGGGTTAACACACAAGATAAGGTAAGAGAGTCACAAGATGAGGACACACGAGGGAAAAAGAAAATGGGCAAGAAAAATAATGAAGAATATTTTAAAGACTCGAGGGAAAGGAAGAGGAAAGTGAAGAAGAGCTTTGCAAGGAAGACAGACATTAGCCCCGCATCCCCGGAGGGCACACCCACATCCACCAGAGGGGAGCTTCCAGTCACTAAGGATAGAAATCCACCTTGTTGGGCTGAAACCACACAGGGAAGGTATTGCCTGATGGAACTGGGGAGCCCAGGGTCGTGGGAGTTCCAGCACCTTCTGTGGATCTGTGTGTCTGCCTTTGCTTTTCCGATGCTTTGGTTTCGTTATTGCTGCTGTTTTCAGACTCACTGGAGGATGATGACACCTGAAAACTGTGCCTGTGGACAGCGTGCAGCTTTCCAGCCGCCCAGGGAGGAAGGTGGGGGCCACCTCGGGCCATGGGGGCCCTCGCCGGCTCTAACAGGTGCAGCAGAGCCTGTGACACCACATGAACGAAGGTCCTCCTGAGAAAGTCTTCCAACGACTTCTCAGAGAGGCCGGCCTGAAGATCCCGGGAGCCTGGTACACACGGAGCATCCAGGGAGCCACGCCTGCATACTCACGTCCGTACCTGCCCTGCCTCCCATGAGGCGTGCAGCATTTCAGAAGGAAAATGCAGAATTGGTCCAGAAAACCTCCACTGAAGCAGATCATGAAAATTAATACTTTATATAGTATTCATCACATGTTTGAGCAGTTTAATTGACATTTCTCCTAAAAACATAGACTGAAATAACCACTGGAAGTTTGGTATATATGTACGTGGTGATATCATGCCCACAACCAGGCCACCACCTCACTCCCAGAACTTTTCTTTTTTCTTTTCTTTTGTTTTTATTTCTTATGGTGAGAACACTTAGGATCTACCTTCTTGGCAAATGTCATGTGTATAATTTCTCTGCCTTCTTGCAGGCAGGCTTCATCCTCAGGCTTGCTTCTCTGGTGCTGAGAAATGGATTGTACTTGTCTCAGGCTTCATACCTTGACCTTATCATCCAGGCCAAGAGAGGGCATTTTTTTTCCTCTCTAATATCCATAGGAATCAGGATTCATGTGTCCTGTGCCACCTGGAGCAGGTGCCTGGCCCTGAACTATCACTCTGAGTCAGGACAAGTGACACCTGTCCGGTGATTGGCCTGACCTGGAGGCTACCTGTCCATCCTCCAGCCTGTCTCAATGTCAAGGATGCTTCCTTCTGATGGCCTCAGGACGATCAGAGCCCAGAGATACCCATGAGGGTGGATCCAACCAACCAAAACCACATGGTGCCCATGCGAGGGGAGCAAGGTGGACTGAACTTAGGGAAACAGCCAAGCAGCCTGACCCAGGCAGGAACGTTACAGAAGTCCTGTGATGTGTTCTCCCCCCTTCCCATATTTGCATCTTCACCTCTTCTCCCACCTCAACGTTATTTTCCAGAAATGTCTACACATGTAGACATTTGAGACATTTGAGAACATGCACGTGTCCCTCTGGGAGTTCTCCTACCCTGGCCTCCTCTCTCAGCCCCTAAACAAATTAGAACTAAGTCTCTGTCTCCTAGTTCAATGCAAATAAGTCACTGACTAACAAACTGGTTTAGAAACAATGATGAAAACCATAATGAGATCAGGAAAAGCAAAAATTTCAAGCTCAGAAACAGGGAGGACCTTTTCCTCCCTGCGACTTGACACTCGGAATATCCCCGCTGCCTGCTCAGGACTTGAGAATGGTTTGTTGAGTTAATTAATGAAACCTAAAGTAACTGAAGGCAAGCTGTGGGGGTCTCCACTCGCACTGCCATGGGGTCACCAGTCACAAAGGGTCCGTCTTCATTATTCATGGACTCTGTGCTGATGGACCTACCTGCTGACGTTGATTTGTAGCCCCAGACATGAGCTCGGCGCCATTCACAGATACCTAGAGGGGCCTAACAGGTGTCCCCCACCTTGGGTGATCCCAGCTGAGGCAGGACCAGGCGCCCCTCTGCCTTCCCGTGCTAATTCCTACACTGTTAACACATGTCCTAGTCATGGTCCATTTGGTGCCACAGTTTCTGCATTGATGAGCTCTTTCTAGGTGATTTCACAGTTTAAAACCATTCTGAAGCCCAGAGCCGCAGGGCTAACGGGTGTTCCTAAGTGTAAGAAGGGGGGGATGTGCCTCGCAGACACAAACCCTGTAAGTGAGTAAGGCTCACTGAGGTCCCGATGCAGACTTGTGGGTCATGAGGTCCAAGGTAACGAGTCACCAATGCCGTAAATCCAGGAAAAGAAATAGACATTCACAACGACTATGTGGAGCCACTCCAGAAAGTGCTGAAGTATCATCTGGGACGCTATGGTGACCCCAAGGGAAAAGGGGGGAAAGGGGTTATGCTCATGGATCCATGAGACGGTGACTGTTTCTTGTTTGTTTGGTTTTTTTCTAAAACCATCCTGGGCAGCACAGCTGTGGGGCTGCAAGCCTAAGATGCTGGTGGTCACAGTACCCAAGCCGAGAAACGTTAGACACTTCTGAGCTGGTATTTCAGTATATAGTTTACAAGTATATGTTTTAAAGACGCTGTCTTTATTTGTTAAAAAGATTTTTTATTTATTTGAGTGACAGAGCACAAACAGGGGAAGGCGCAGAGGGAGAGGGACTATCGGACCTCCTGCTCAGCAGGAGCCTGGATTATTATTATTATTATTATTATTATTATTATTATTATTACTATTCCATCCCAGGACCCCTGAGATTATCACCTGAGCCAAAGGCAGCCGCTCAACTGCTCAACCAAGGTGCCCCCAAGAGGCTGTCTTCATACAGGCACACCTGAAACCAAGCTGCGTAGTCAGCAGGTGGCAGGTGCTGTGAGCAGAGGTCCCAGGACCTGAACCCCGCATTGCCCCAGGAACACTGGCTCAGTGTGGCTGACTCCAGGTCCTCAGTGGCTGTGACACAGCGCCCAGGAATGCGAGAAGGCGCTGTGTGCACGCCCCTTGCTGAGTCCCCACTCATCCCTGACCACAGCACTCCTGTTCTCTTTCCCCGAGCATCTCCTTTCCCTTCAGGACATACTTGCCCTGCTCCTTCTCAGGCATCATCATGTTTATGCACCTGCGAATCAACTGCTGATTTTGCTAAAATGCAAATTGTCATTCAGGAAGTCAGCTGACCTTTTATTTTTAAAATACCCCAGAGTGGTAGGTCTTCTGGTGCCTTGAGCCCAACAAACATTAAAAACCTGAATCCTCATTTTCCCCACTCATTTTTTCTCGGGATTCAGGTTTTTGATGTTTTTGGGGAAATATCAGAGAGGGAGGCTGAACATGAGAGACTCCTAACTCTGGGAAATGAACAAAGGGTGGTGGAAGGGGCGGAAGGTGGGGAGGATGGGGTGACTGGGTGACGGGCACCAAGGGGGGCACTGGACGGGATGAGCACTGGGTGTTATGTTATATGTAGGCAAATCGAACTCCAATAAAAAAAATACACAAAATAAAATAAATAAATAAAATGGTTAAAAGAAAAAAAAAGAACCTGGATCCTACCGTTCTACTTAATTCAGAATACTTGGAAAAACAATCCTCCAAAAGGTTTATGTAGTTAAATAATACAAATCTTAATAGAAAACTTGTTTCTACATAGAGACCTGGAAGTGTCAACAGGAACAGGGAAAGTGTGAGTCCCCTGGCCAGGTGACAAGACTTCTAACAAGAAGAGGATCAAACCACCCAAAAAAAAAAAAAAGAAGAGGATCAAACATCTCAGTTACTACAAACATGGTAGGAAGGAAAAGAATAAGAAAAATCTAAGAATTTAACGCAGGTTTTTATTACTGAGGACATTTTCCCTGTAGCTGAGGCTCCTTGCCAAGGATGCAAATATTAAAAAGACATGGACTTTGCTCTCAAGAATCCTAAGAATTAGAAGGGAAAAGGACCTGATGGGGGCAACAAGGGATGGGGGTCAGGAATAGAATTGCCAAAGTGAAGGAAAAGGTGGTGGCAATTGTCGCCAGGCAGAGACGGCCTCCACCACTGACTCAGGGACGGCTCACTGGTGGAAAGGATGACTCACTGGAGGATATGATGTCTGTGACCTATGAGGTTGCTGGGGCATCAGGTTATGCTGAGTTAAATTTTGAAATTTAAGTTCCAGAACCAAGTCAGAACAACAAATCCCCCTGAATCATGCTGAGCTCACACTGAGAACCGGTCGACAGGGAGGACTAAGGAAGAGTTGGCCACAGGGAGTGGCCAGGACGTCAGTGCTGAGCTGGGTTTAGGTAAGTGCTGGAGCCTGGGCGGCTGAGATCCCGCTCCGAAGGGAAGTCTGTGCACTGAGGTCTCCAGTGGGCTTTCCTGGAGGAACAAGGAGGAGGCCCCCTGCAGCAGGTGGAGGGGAGGCTGCAGGGGGGAGGGCACGGGCGACAGGAGGGCTGAGGACACACGGAAAGGTGGGGAGACACGTGGGAAAGAGCAGGAAGGGGGCTCCAGAGACTCACCAGCGCTTCCAGAGCCACCACGCCAGGCCTGCCAGGAGCACCAGGGGCACGATCACCACCAGGAAGACCAAGCCCACGGAGTGGGGCTGCTCTGTGGGGTTGGGCACAGAGGGTGTCATTTCAGGTCCACCCCGGGTTGAACTGCACTGCCCACAACCTCTCTGCCCCTGTCACCCTCTCCCTGACCAACCGCCCATCCTCCTTTCACTTCTCCCATCCCTCCACAGAGATGGACACTCCACCTAACCCTCCGCATCCTCCCACATATTCAGGACCCCCACCCTCAGCTCTTCCATTTCTTGGGATACAGATATTTTAATTTTGGGGACTAGAATCACTAGCAAACTAAATTTTTCATCAGGCTCCCCAACTCTACTGAAGGACCCCGTGCCCATTTCCCAGGCGGACCCAACTCTTCCTCACCCCAGTGGAGGACCATGTCCTGGCCTCCTAGACTGCTGTGTCTCACCCGGCAGGACAGGCCAGCTGCCTCCTTGGCTTTCACATCCAAGGACACCTGACGGTACCACGTCCCATCAGTATTGGGCAAAATATCGCTATACAAGGTGCCCTGCTGCTCCTGCTCACCCCGCATCCACGTCACCCACACAGGCTTGGGGTAGAAGCCAGAGACATGGCACACTAGCAGCAGATGGCCAGGCCCAGGGCTGGGGCCAGTGGACAGCCAGGCCTCGGGCCTCACTGCAAAGACAGGACAGGGATTCACAGACTGAAGGGAGGTGCTCATATCACCTTAGACAGACACACCTTTCTGCCTCTTTAAGCCCATCACCATCACCCTCATCTCCCTCCTGACTCCATCTCACTCTGAATTTGAGAGACTGGTACAAATTTCTGAGTGCAGGATGCAGAATTTGGAGGGAGGGTGAAGGACTGACCTTGTCGCTGGAGATATGCTTTCCCTGCATCAAGAAGACCCAACAGGAACCGGGGGCAGGAGTCAAAGAGGAGCTTGTGGACTATTTCAATGAAAACATGGTATTCATTGAAAAGACTGCAGACCTTCTGAGCCCTACTTCCTCCCTCTGGAGATGGCCTCCATGACGTGTTCTGGAAGCTCAGGAGATCAGATCCCTGATAAGCCAACTGCAGGAAGCCTGCTGATGCTTCTCCAAAGTGGGAATCACAGCCTAATACCAGCTGAATCTGAAAGGGATCTGGGGAAGAGAGATGTGGGTGATAAGACAGCTGGAGTGGAAGAGATGACATGAGACGAGTGGAAGCCATGGATGGTGGAAGCAGAGGGAAAAGTTCAGGGGATTGAATGGAATGGAGCACAGTTTGGTTTGAGGGGAGCCTCACACAAAGGGGAAGTGGTGGTCGCTGGAAGCAGAGGAAGAGGTAAATGATAGAGGAAGGAGCAAAAGTTGGAGGAGAGACATGAAGGATGTGGGCATAAAATAGGGAAGGGCTTGGCGGGAGAGCTGGGCTAGAAACAACCGAGGGTGAAGGGAGCACGGGGGGGTGACAGGGTCGCATAGACAGACATCGCTGCTGGGATAGGATGGGGAGAAAAGCACACAGATCAAGGAGTCAGTCACAGAGCGAGGACCAGAGCTGCCTGGTTGGAGGCCAGGGAAAGGGGTGGTCGTGGGAGAACTAGTGTGACGGGAGACCCCAGCCTGTGGCCAATGAGAGGAGCGGGACGGAGCAGAAGATGTGGATCTTTTCAACAATCGGGGTCTGGCTCCACTCTCTGCCCAGATGAGTGTGAACCTTTATATGGCAGAGAAACATGAGGTTCAGAGTCCGGTGGAGCTCATTTCCTAGAGGAAGAAGGAACTCAAGGAGACACACACGCACCTGCCACCTGCCACCCAAGCCCGAGGGAACAGAACTCACATTCAAGTTGCCAGTCACGGATGTGGTTATGAAATGTGGAAGGGGATCGGATGGTGTATGTGTAGAATAAGTTCTGCACTTCCAGGAGCTCCTCGTTGCTGAAGTTGCCCTTGGACCAAGGCTGCAGGTAACGGAAAGCTCCTGTCTTGTTGTTCCAGCCGTGAGTCTGCAGCTCATCCAGCCAAGCTGAGCCTTGATTCTGCGTTGAGGAACTGCTGTAAAAGGATGTGGTCAGGATGATCCGGAAGGAGATCGGCTCCTGGGAATCTGTGGGGAAGGACATAAGCTTTGGGAGTGCAAGGCCTGGAGAAGGAAAGGGAGTGGAGACTAAGGTGCCGGGGACGGGACCCAAAATCTGCAGGACAGAGAAACCGTAGTCGACTCAGGAGACACATGCTGCCCCTGAGCCCGAGCCTCCTCGCACCCATCCTTCAGGAGAGCACAGGGCCCTGGGGCCGGGGATGCTTGGGAAGGACCCAGCTGACTCTCTCCCTGCCCAGGTCTGTGCCGGGAACCCACACCACCCGTGCACACACACAGAGACAATTGCACACACACAACCACGCAGAGATTACACATGTGCACCCACATATGCGCGTCTACACACAGAGACACCCAGACACTTACCCACACATGTGCACGGACACCAGACAGGCACCGGTACACACTTACGTATACACGTACTCAAATGCACACATGCACATGTACACACATAGCAGACACAGACTTAAAGACACACAGACTGAGGGAAATACACAGAGACACACAGGAACACGTAGACTCAAAAGCACATGTACACACACACACACACACACACGCACACGTGCGCCCACTGGGCAGGACCCGAGCTCTCACCATCTTCGCTGTCACCCCCCGGGAGGAGAACCGCCAACAGCACAAGTTGCAGGAACAGCATCTTGTTTGCAGATGTTCTTTCTCTTGCAAAGTCGCTCTTTGACTTCTGTCCTCACACACCGACCCCCTCCCAGGCCCTCTCCTCTGACTTCCTCTCCACACACAACCCTTCCCTGAGTCTCTATGACAATGCAAATGTGCTCCTCCCTCAGCCTTGGGCACCTACTCAGTCTCACTTCCCCTCCTGCTCTGCCTCCCCTCTGGCCTCCAGCTTCTCCCTGTCACCAGCGTCCATCCCGCCCCCGCCCCCTGATTCAGATGCTACAGACCAAGTCCTGTGTGGCCTGGAAAAGTGGCCCCACTTCTCAGCCCTTTCTTCTCACCCAGACAGTAACCCAGGAAAACACCCAGCTCCCAGCACCAGCCCTGGACCTGCTGTCCCTCTGTCCCTCCTGCCCTGTGACGCACCCCCCACCCCGGTATTTCCTTCCCTGTCTCACCCCCACCCCAGCTCCTTCACATCCCCGACTTCTCACTGCTTGTGCCAAAAAACCAACCAAAGAACTCAATTCAGAGATCCACCTGGTTTTATTAAGTGATTCAAGAATGGGGCAGCCTCCCACCTGGCAGGTAAGGGGAGCTCTGAGCTGTGGTGCAAATGGAGGGTTTCATAGGAAGGAAGTCGGTGAGAGAAGAGAAAGGAGTGTTTCGGGGAAGGTCCCTTACCCTTACCTGGGATTGCAGGGGGTCTAACCACGCGATTGACCTCCCCTCCGTGGGAATGGAGAGGGCGCATGTGACAGAGGACCTCCCTGGGCCAAACCAGAGAATCCTTCACTGATGGTGAAGACTTCCCTTTCTGGGGGAGGTGGGAACTGCAGCTGGTTAGAGATTAAGCCAGATCTGGGGACTTGGTCTGGACCAAGGTGCCATTTGGCCCAAGGGAAGGGTCTTCTTTTCCACAGATGCTCTATTTGCTTGTCCAGATTCCCCATGATTGTAGCAGCCTCAGCAACCCCGAGTCCTCCATTATTCTTCGGGAGGAACCAGCAGGCATCACAGAGACCACAGGACATGGAATCATCTGAAGAGTTCCCCCTCCATCTGACTGGCATCAATACATATTCACTCACCACCAGACACTTAGCACCTGCTTGGACCCAAGCGCTGTGCTGCCCTCGTGAAGGTACAGTGTGCGCAGGGCAGGCACTTTATTCAAGAAGTTTTTAGGGAAGAAAAACACATAGACCAGGAAGTATAAATTTGGGGGCGCTGAATTCCTTTTCCCTTGTTCATTTCGTCTATTTTAAGATTCAAGACGGCTTACATACTGTGTTCGATTAGTTTCAGGTGTGCAGTACAGGGGTTTAGCAATTCTATATATATTATCCGTGCTCTTCAGTGTGGGTGCAACCCTGCTCCCCTTCACCTATTCCCCATCCCCACTCCCCTCCCCTCGGAGAACCAGAAGTGTGTTCTCTATAGATAGCAGTCTGTTTTTAACTTTGTCACTTATTTCTGTTAGTTTTCTTTGTTTCTTCAATTCCTCATATGAAGGGGGCCACTGGGTGGCTCAGCGGCTGAGCGTCTGCCTTTGGCCCAGGTCGTGACCCCGAGGTCCGGGATCAAGTCCCATGTCGGGTTCTCTGCATGGAGCCTGCTTCTCCCTCAGCCTGTGTCTCTGCCCCTCTCTCTGTGTCTCTCATGAAAAAATAAATAAAATCTTTTTTTTTAATTCCAGGTATGAAGATGTCATATGGCGCTAATCTTTCTCTGATTATTTCACTCACCATCATACTCTCTAGCTCCATCCATGTTGGTGCAAATGGCAAGACTTCAGTCATTTTTATGGCTGAGTAATATTCCATTGAGCGTGGATACCACACCTTTTTCATTTTTCCGTGTTCATCTCTCTATGGACACTTGGGCTGGTTCCATACATTGACTACCGTAAATAATGCTGGAGTAACATTGAGGTGCATGTTTCTTTTCATTAGTGCTGTTACATTGTTTGGGTAAATAGTCAATAGTAGAATGACTGAATCATATGATAATTCTGTTTTTAATTTTTTAAATTTTATTCATTTATTCATGAGAGACACAGGCAGAGGGAGAAGCAGGCTCCATGCTGGGAGCCCAACGAGGAACTCGATCCCGGGTCTCCAGGATCACGCCCTGGGCTGAAGGCGGTGCTAAACCGCTGAGCCACCCGGGCTGCCCTGTTTTTAATTTTTTGAGGACCCGCCTCACTGTTTTCCACCATGGCTGCACCAGTCTACGTTCCCACCAACAGTGCACAAGAATTCCCTTTGTTCCACTCCCTCTACGACACTTGTTTCTTGTGTACTTTTGAATTCAGCCAATGTGACAGGTGTGGGGTGATATCTCATTGTGGTTTTGATTTGCATTTCCCTGGTGATGAGTGATGTTGAGCCTTTTTTCCTGTGTCTGTGTCTGTTGGCCATATGGGTGTCTTCTTTAGGGAAATGTTTACTCATGTCGTCTACCCATTTTTTTTCTTGTATTTGTTCTTGTGGTGTTGAGTTGCACAAGTTCTTTATGTATTTTGTATAGTAGCTCTTTATTGAATATATAATTAGGAAATACCTACTGACATTCGGTGATCGCTCTTTAGCTTTATCGATTCTTCTTTCTGTACAAAAGAATTTTATTTTGATATATTCCCAAGAGTTCATTTTTGCTTTTGTTTCTTTCGCCTCTGGAGACGTATCTGGAAAAATGATGCTGTGGCTAATGTCTGAGACCTTAATATCTGTGCTCTCTTTTAGGATTTTATAGCTTTAAGTATCACATTTAGGTCCTTAATCTACTTTGAATTTATTTTTCTGTCTGGTATAAAAAAGTCATCCCGTTTCATTCTTTTGCATTTAGTATCCAGTTTTCACAACATCATTTGTTGAAGAGACTTTCTATTTCCCATTGTATATTCTTGCCTCCTTTGTCAAAGTTTAATTGACCATAAAATCATGGGTTTGTTTCTGGGCTCTCTCCTCTGTTCCATGGATCTATGCGTCTACTTTTATGCCAGTACTATAATATTTGATTACTGCAGCTTTGTCGTATGACTTGAAATCTGGAATTATGACGCCTTCAGCTTTGTTTTTCTTTTTAGATTGCTTTACCATTCAGAGTATTTTGTGGTTCCATACAAAGTTTAAGGTTGTTTGCTCGAGCTGTGTGAAAAATGCTATTGATATTTTCAAGAGATTACAAAAATCTGTAGATTCCTTTGGGGAGTATGGATATGTCAGCAATATTTGTTCTTCCAATCCATGAACATGGAATGTCTTTCCATTTCTTTGTGGCCCTTTCAATGTTTTCATCAATGTTTTATAGTTTTCAGAATCCAAATCTTTCAATTCTTTGGATAACTGTATTGCTAGGTATTGCATTATTTTTGGTGGAATTGAAATGGGTCAATTTTCTAATTTCTCTTTATGCTGCTTCACTCTTAGTGCATAGAAATATCAGAATGTGTAGTCTGCTCTTTTAGGATGGAATGGTCTGAAATATCATTTATCTATCCGGCTCAATGCATCACTCAAGGTGATTGTTTCTTTGTTAATTTTCTGCTTGGATGATCTGCTTACCAATGCAAGTGGGGAATTAAAGTCCCCTACTATTATTGCATTACTATGGATTACCTCCTTCGTGCTTGTTACCAGTTTTTGAGCGCTCCCATGTTAGGCACATAAATATTTACCTTTATTATATCTTCTTGTTGCACTGTTCCCTTTATTATTATATAGAGTCCTTCTTTGCCTCATGCTAGTCTTTCTGGTAAAGTCCATCGTGTAGGATAGAAGCATTGCTATCTTGGCTTTCAGTTCAAAGCCATTTGCTTGATAAATGTTTCTCCACCTCTTCAGCTTGAATCTCATGTGCCTTTAGGTCTGAAATGAGTCTCTTGTAGGCAGCATATGGATGGATCTTGCTTTTTTATCCATCTCATCACCCTATGTCTTTTGATTGGAGCATTTAATCCATTTACATTCAATGCAATTATTGATTGGTATGTACTTATTGTCCCCTTGTTACTTGTTCTATGACTCTATTTGTAGTTCTATGTTCTTTTCTTTTTTTTTTTTTTTTGCTCTTTTCTCCAATGGTTAGTTGGCTTCTTCAGTGATATATGTGGATTATGTCTCTTGAATTTTTACATACATATTACTAATTTTCAATTTCTAGTTATTAATCGGTTTGTATAGAACAGCTTTTGTATATAGCAGTCAGTATCAAGTTAAGGTCACTTTACGCACCTTTTACTCCTTTCCTGACCCTCACCTATGTTTTAGGTATATTTTGTCGTAGTTTACAACCTTTTATTTTGTGAGTCCCTTAACTGACGTTTACGAATATCCTTATTTTTATTGCTTTTATGTTTCCTTTCCTTTTGATCTTTGCTTTCCACTCAGAGTCCCCTTTAACATTTCTTGCAGTGTTGGGTTAGTGGTCATGAATTCCTTTAACACTAAAGTGTCTGAGAAACTCTTTATCCCTCCTTCTATTCTGAATGAGTCTTGGTGGCTAGAGTAATCTTGGCTGCAGTTTTCCCTTTCAGTACTTTGAATACATCATGCCATTTTTTTCTAGCCTGCAAAGTTTCTGCTGAAAAATCAGCTTCATGGGTTTCCCTTCTATGTCTTCTTTTCTTTTGTTGGTTTTAAAATTCTCCTGTATCACTACTTTTTGCCATTTTAATTAATATGTATTGTGGTGTGGACTCCTTGGGTTGATTTTTTTTTTATTTGGGGCCTCTCTGTGCCTCCTGATTCTGGATTTCTGCTTCCTTCACCAGAATGGGGAAGTTTTCAGCTATTTATTTCTTTGAATAATTTTACCCCCTTTTCTATCTCTTCTGTGATCTATAATGCAAATGTTTTTATGCTTGATGGTGTCATTGACTTCCTAAGTGTGTTTTCATTTTGTATTTTTTCCCTCTCTCTCCTATTCAACTTAACTGCTTACTATTACCCTGTCTTCCAGGTCACTGATCTTCTGCTTCCTCAATTCTATTAACCATTCCGTCAGTATCAGTATTTTTACACTGAAATTTTTCAATTTCATTTATTGACTTATCCATCACTGATTGGTTCTTCTTTATCTTTTCTATCTCTTTGTTGAGGATATCACTGAAGTTCTCTACTCTTTTTCTCAAGTCTAGTGAGTATCCTTATGACCATTACCTTAAATTCTTTGGCATGCTACTTACTTCCTTTTCACTTAGTCCTATTGCTGTAATCTATCGTGTTCTTTCACTTGAGATGTATTCCTCTGTCTCTTCATTTCATCCTAGTCTCTGCTTCTGTTTCTGTATGTTAGGAATATTAGGTACATCTCCTGTTCTTGAAAGAAGTGGTCTTAAAAGAAGAGGTTCCGTTTCCTCTGCAGTGCAGTGTCCTCTGTTACCAGAGCCTGGCATTTCAGAGGTGCCTCCTAATGTGTTGCATGTGCCTTCATGTGATAGTTGAGCCACTTTTCCTCTGATGGAGACATCTTCAATGCCTGTTGTGGGCAAGAGTTGGTCCCTATGTTGTTGGTCGGCCATTCTGAGGCCTCATTGCCTTTAAATTGTGTCATACCAAGAATTTGCCAGAGATAATCTAGCGCAAAACTGTAGGGTACATTCCCTATGTTGTCCTCTGAGAAACTTTCATTGGTGGGAGGGCCCTTCATCACATGATGTCTGCCTCCAACTCATTTCTGGGGCCTCAGTCACAATGTTCTGTGTAGTTTCTTTTCCCTCTCACAGGGCAAGATTCACCTTGGAGTGGTGTGGCCCATGCCAGGACTGCTTGCACATTGCCAGGCTTATGGGACCACTTTGAATACACTTTTGCCAAGAGTGTAATGGAGAAGACAGATCTGCCAAAGAACACAGGGATTGGAGGCACAGTGTCAGGAAGTGTTGTTGGAGGGGTCTGCTGCCAATGAGATGCTGGCAAGCTGGGTCGGAGGGAGTGGATCCACAGAGAGCACTGGGGAAGGATGAATGGTGTTAACAAGGTTTACACAAGCCTGCTGTGGAAAGGCACCCAGAGTATTAACCCAACTGGAATGAGTGTGCCTGCAGGGGAATGTGAGTGTGTGGTGTGCTGATAGCAAGGGAGTTAGTGAGTGTTGGCTCAATACAGGTCAGACGGTCCACACGTATGAGGGTGAAAGATCCACACGTATGAGGGTGAAAGATACCTTTTTCTCCTCTTTCCCACTCTGTCTCTCTGAGGTTTCCATTTCCAATGTAAGGAAATCTTGCCAGCGGCAGCTCATCTAGGGCAAATCTGTACACATTACAGACTCAGTTAGGATCATTTAGGGACCTTGGCTGACTCAGCCACCTTACCTTCTTCAGCTCTCATCCCTTTATTCCTTTGTTCCTGTGGGTGCAGTCACCACCTTGATCTATAGGCTAAATACATTCCTATATGTCTGAGTAGTGAGTCTTCCCCCTCACTTTCCAACCTGGAAAGTTGGTTTGGCCAACTGATGTTCAGCTCTCCCTGTTGCAAGGGACCGGAACCCCACCAGGAATTGCCATTGCCGTTTGCCGTGACGTTCTTCTTGGGAGGATCCGCAGTAGAGTCAGTCACCCTGTATATATTCAGATTCTTTTTGAGATCAGTGGGATGCCTTGACACATTGCAACGGGGAGTCAGAGCTCCTTCCCTCTGGCAGGACGGCCCTTTGGAAATAGGCGGTTCCTCTTTCCAACTATGGCAAAATGCCGTCTATTCCTGCAGACTCACCCTTAGGCTGTATTCTTAAAATCCAGAACAAATTTGACCTCTAAGGCCTGCAGATACAAGATATCATCTTTTTATGTAATGATTCCTGGCCTTAGTACAAACTCTCAGATCAAGAGGAAAGACTCTTCATGGAAATTTTCTTATGTACTATTTTCCAGCTTGACACTTTTGCTAGAACTCCTCCAAATGATTGGAGGCCTCATATGTGCAAGCCTTCATTGCATGACCCCAAAAACCTAGCCTCCACAAAAACTGTAGAAGGTATCTTGCTCAATTCTATGGCCCATCTGACCTTGCGGACATTCTAGACAACCCCTCCTTCATTCCATCCCATTGTCTTACCACTGCCTCTGAATACCCAGAGGCTCTCCTGGACCCTACTAATGTCCTAGGAGTCCCTGCCATTGTCACCACCATGCCACCTCCTTACCAAAGTGCCTTCTCCCTGTACAACATTCAATCTGGCACTAACTACAAGCCTAAGGACCTTCTCCCTGTACAACATTCAATCTGGCACTAACTACAAGCCTAAGGACCTGCCTTCTGTTTTTCTACAAAATGTCGTGCCCCTCCAGGAGGTAGGAAATGAGGATGCCAGGACCATTAGGGTCCACGTTCCCTTTCCAATGTCTGATCTGTCTCATATAGAAACAAAACTTGACTCCTTTAGCCAGGATCCTTTCGGATTCACTAAGGTATTTGAAAGCCTTACAATTGTTTTTGATCTCACCTAGCAGGACATTCATATCATCTTTACCATGTGCTGTATCCATGAGGAAAAAAAAGCTTGTATCTGATCTTTGGCTCAGAACTGGGCTGATGAGGCCCATGTCTGTACCCATGACTGAGCTCTCTCATGGGTATGTGATTCCAAGTGCCAACTCTAGATTGATTTATCAGGAAGGCAGAATTAATCAAGATTACAGGGTAACTTGCCTAATTGAGGATATGCAAAAAAGCAGTCTTCAAGCCTGTAAATTATGCAAAACTTAAAAAAATAACCCAAGGCCCAAATGAAAATCTCAAGTAATTTCATTCTTACTTAGCAAAGGCCATGAGAAAATACAAAAAAAAAAAAAAAAAAAAAAAAAAAAAAACTAGATCCTGAGGGCCCAGAGGTCATGGAAACATAAGCAATGCATTTTGTAAGCCAGGTATTCCCTGATATCAAACAAAAGCTTCATAAGCTGTATCAAGGACCTCAATCCGTGCTCCCACCCTTCTGAATATGGCTTTTAAGGTCGTCAATAACTGAGAGGTAGCTCTGAGTGCTAAAAGGGAACAGAGACACAAGAGGCAGGCCCAGGCCCTAAATTCTAGGGCATTTCATTGGATCTCCTAGACTAGAACTACAAAATACCAAACCCTTTCATTAGAAACACCAGAACACTGTGTGTCCCCAGACTTTATACATCCTTCACAGAGGCATTATAGCACCTGCTGGGCTCCATATGAGACAAAGTGCAGACCTCTAAAACTCCATCCAGTCTTTGAGTCCACTGGTTGTAAAAACTCATGAAAATCAGCCCCTCTTGTTTTTCCAGTCATTGGCTTTGGAGAACTGTTTTCCTTGTGTGATCTCCTGATCTCTCTCTCTCTCTCTCTCTCTCTCTCTCTCTCTCTCTCTCTCCTCTGTCATTGACCAGGGTTCCCTCCACTCTACAGCACTCACAATCCATATATCTTCCAAATCACAGCTCTGGACATCCTACCTTCCATGATGTGGCCTCTTCACTGCCCTAGCTGTGCACTTTTCTACAGGCCTCAGGTTGATTTCTGGGGTATTCAGAATGATTTGATATTTATGCAAAACTTCATCTATACAATTTCTCAGCCTTCTTGGAGGCAGCTTTCATCCTCAGGCTTGATTCTCTGGTGCAGAAAAATGGGTTGTACTTCTCTCACGTTTCTTGCCCTGACCTTATCATCCAGGAAAAGAATGAGCAACTCATTCCCCTGCCATCAACCAAGAGAAACAGGCAACAGGCCACTCCCATAAGTGTCTGCAGCTAAATAACTGGAATGGTCACAGCCAAAACTGTTTCTCCTCAAGGGCTCAGATACATCAGCAAAGACCCAGAGGAGTGTGAGTTCCCTAGGCCAGGAGACAACTTTTAACAGGAAGATTATCAAACATCCTAACTACCATAAACATGTCAAGAAGCAAAAGAAGAAAAACGTATAACTGTGGGATAGAGTCAACACAGATTTTTACTGAGGACATATGCCATGTAGTGAGACACCTCGCCAAGAATACAAATACTAAAAAGACGTGGACTTAGTTCTTAAGAATCCTAATATTAAAAAAAAAAGAATCCTAATATTGTACTGGGTGTTATTCTGTATGTTGGCAAATTGAACACCAATAAAAATAAATATATTATTAAAAAAAGAATCCTAATATTAGAGGAGAAAAGGAACATAACTGGAGGTAATGAGGAGTGGGCTGGGAAACACAGATTTACAAAAGGTCAGGAAAAGGGGGTAGAGATTCTCAACAGGCAGAGACTGCTTCTACTTGTGAATCAGGGAGGGCCCTCTGGAGGACATGACATTTGATGTCTCTCGATCCATGTAGGCGCTGGAACATCATTCCATTCAGAGATAAATTTGAGATTTAAATTCCAGAATTAAGTCAGAACAACAAAACTCACTAAATGATGCTTAGCTTATATTGACAACTGATCATTAAGAAGAAATGAACACAGAGTTGCGCACGGGGAGTGGCCAGGACATCAGTGCTGAGCTGGGTTTAGGTCCTGGGGCCTGGGTGGCTGGGATCTCGCTCCGAAGGGAAGTCCGTGCACTGAGGTCTCCAGTGGGCTTTCCTGGAGGAACAAAGAGGAGGCCCCCTGCAGCAGGTGGAGAGGAGGCTGCAGGGGGGGAAGGGCATGGGCGGCAGGAGGGCTGAGGACACACGGAAAGCTGGGGAGACACGTGGGAAAGAGCAGGAAGGGGGCTCCAGAGACTCACCAGCGCTTCCAGAGCCACCACGCCAGGCCTACCAGGAGCACCAAGGGCACGATCACCACCAGGAAGACCAAGCCCATGGAAGGGGGCCGCTCTGTGGGGTTGGGCACAGAGTGTGTCATTTCCCGTCCACCCCGGGTTGAACTGCACCTCCCTGCTCCTCTCCACTCCTGTTACCCTCTCCTTGACCAACCGCCATTCCCCCTTTCCCTTCTCCCATCTCTCCTCAGAGATGGACACTTCATGTAACCCTCCACATCCTCCCACATATGCAGGACCCCCACCCTCAGCTCTTCCATTTCTGGATTACTGAGTATTTTAGTCCTCTTTGGTCTGGAGCCACTAGAACAAATATTTCATCAGGTTCCCAGCTCTAATGGATGACCATTTACCATGTTGTCCAGCCTGCCCCAGTCCTTCCTCACCCCAGTGGAGGACCATGTCCTGGCCTCCTAGACTGCTGTGTCTCACACGGCAGGACAGGCCAGCTGCCTCCTTGGCTTTCACATCCAAGGACACCTGAAGGTACCACGTGCCGTCAGCATGGGGCAAGACGTCACCTCGCTGGGAGCCTGTCTCCTCCTGCTCGCCCCGCATCCACATCACCCACACAGGCTTGGGATAGAAGCCGGAGACATGGCACACGAGTTGCAGACAGCCAGGCACGGGGCTGGGGCGAGCGGACAGCCAGGCCTCGGGCCTCACTGCGGAGACAGTACAGGGATTCACAGACTGAGGGGAGGTGCTCACATCACCTTAGACAGACACACCTTTCCGCCTTTGAAGCCCATGACCATCACCCCTTCTCCCTCTTGACTCTCCCTTACTCTGAATTTGAGGGCACAGTACAGATTTCTGAGCGCAGGATGCAGAAAGCTTGGAGGGAGGGTGAAGGACTGACCTTGTCGCTGGAGATCCGCCTTCCCCGCATCAAGAAGACTCAACAAGATCCGGGGGCAGGAGTCATTGAGGAGCTTACGTACTATTTCATGGGAAACATGGTCCTGGTTGAATAGACTGCAGACCTTCTGAGCCCTACTTCCTCCCTCTGGAGATGGCCTCCATGACGTGTTCTGGAAGCTCAGGAGATCAGATCCCTGATAAGCCAACTGCAGGAAGCCTGCTGATGCTTCTCCAAAGTGGGAATCACAGCCTAATACCAGCTGAATCTGAAAGGGATCTGGGGAAGAGAGATGTGGGTGATAAGACAGCTGGAGTGGAAGAGATGACATGAGACGAGTGGAAGCCATGGATGGTGGAAGCAGAGGGAAAAGTTCAGGGGATTGAATGGAATGGAGCACAGTTTGGTTTGAGGGGAGCCTCACACAAAGGGGAAGTGGTGGTCGCTGGAAGCAGAGGAAGAGGTAAATGATAGAGGAAGGAGCAAAAGTTGGAGGAGAGACATGAAGGATGTGGGCATAAAATAGGGAAGGGCTTGGCGGGAGAGCTGGGCTAGAAACAACCGAGGGTGAAGGGAGCACGGGGGGGTGACAGGGTCGCATAGACAGACATCGCTGCTGGGATAGGATGGGGAGAAAAGCACACAGATCAAGGAGTCAGTCACAGAGCGAGGACCAGAGCTGCCTGGTTGGAGGCCAGGGAAAGGGGTGGTCGTGGGAGAACTAGTGTGACGGGAGACCCCAGCCTGTGGCCAATGAGAGGAGCGGGACGGAGCAGAAGATGTGGATCTTTTCAACAATCGGGGTCTGGCTCCACTCTCTGCCCAGATGAGTGTGAACCTTTATATGGCAGAGAAACATGAGGTTCAGAGTCCGGTGGAGCTCATTTCCTAGAGGAAGAAGGAACTCAAGGAGACACACACGCACCTGCCACCTGCCACCCAAGCCCGAGGGAACAGAACTCACATTCAAGTTGCCAGTCACGGATGTGGTTATGAAATGTGGAAGGGGATCGGATGGTGTATGTGTAGAATAAGTTCTGCACTTCCAGGAGCTCCTCGTTGCTGAAGTTGCCCTTGGACCAAGGCTGCAGGTAACGGAAAGCTCCTGTCTTGTTGTTCCAGCCGTGAGTCTGCAGCTCATCCAGCCAAGCTGAGCCTTGATTCTGCGTTGAGGAACTGCTGTAAAAGGATGTGGTCAGGATGATCCGGAAGGAGATCGGCTCCTGGGAATCTGTGGGGAAGGACATAAGCTTTGGGAGTGCAAGGCCTGGAGAAGGAAAGGGAGTGGAGACTAAGGTGCCGGGGACGGGACCCAAAATCTGCAGGACAGAGAAACCGTAGTCGACTCAGGAGACACATGCTGCCCCTGAGCCCGAGCCTCCTCGCACCCATCCTTCAGGAGAGCACAGGGCCCTGGGGCCGGGGATGCTTGGGAAGGACCCAGCTGACTCTCTCCCTGCCCAGGTCTGTGCCGGGAACCCACACCACCCGTGCACACACACAGAGACAATTGCACACACACAACCACGCAGAGATTACACATGTGCACCCACATATGCGCGTCTACACACAGAGACACCCAGACACTTACCCACACATGTGCACGGACACCAGACAGGCACCGGTACACACTTACGTATACACGTACTCAAATGCACACATGCACATGTACACACATAGCAGACACAGACTTAAAGACACACAGACTGAGGGAAATACACAGAGACACACAGGAACACGTAGACTCAAAAGCACATGTACACACACACACACACACACACACGCACACGTGCGCCCACTGGGCAGGACCCGAGCTCTCACCATCTTCGCTGTCACCCCCCGGGAGGAGAACCGCCAACAGCACAAGTTGCAGGAACAGCATCTTGTTTGCAGATGTTCTTTCTCTTGCAAAGTCGCTCTTTGACTTCTGTCCTCACACACCGACCCCCTCCCAGGCCCTCTCCTCTGACTTCCTCTCCACACACAACCCTTCCCTGAGTCTCTATGACAATGCAAATGTGCTCCTCCCTCAGCCTTGGGCACCTACTCAGTCTCACTTCCCCTCCTGCTCTGCCTCCCCTCTGGCCTCCAGCTTCTCCCTGTCACCAGCGTCCATCCCGCCCCCGCCCCCTGATTCAGATGCTACAGACCAAGTCCTGTGTGGCCTGGAAAAGTGGCCCCACTTCTCAGCCCTTTCTTCTCACCCAGACAGTAACCCAGGAAAACACCCAGCTCCCAGCACCAGCCCTGGACCTGCTGTCCCTCTGTCCCTCCTGCCCTGTGACGCACCCCCCACCCCGGTATTTCCTTCCCTGTCTCACCCCCACCCCAGCTCCTTCACATCCCCGACTTCTCACTGCTTGTGCCAAAAAACCAACCAAAGAACTCAATTCAGAGATCCACCTGGTTTTATTAAGTGATTCAAGAATGGGGCAGCCTCCCACCTGGCAGGTAAGGGGAGCTCTGAGCTGTGGTGCAAATGGAGGGTTTCATAGGAAGGAAGTCGGTGAGAGAAGAGAAAGGAGTGTTTCGGGGAAGGTCCCTTACCCTTACCTGGGATTGCAGGGGGTCTAACCACGCGATTGACCTCCCCTCCGTGGGAATGGAGAGGGCGCATGTGACAGAGGACCTCCCTGGGCCAAACCAGAGAATCCTTCACTGATGGTGAAGACTTCCCTTTCTGGGGGAGGTGGGAACTGCAGCTGGTTAGAGATTAAGCCAGATCTGGGGACTTGGTCTGGACCAAGGTGCCATTTGGCCCAAGGGAAGGGTCTTCTTTTCCACAGATGCTCTATTTGCTTGTCCAGATTCCCCATGATTGTAGCAGCCTCAGCAACCCCGAGTCCTCCATTATTCTTCGGGAGGAACCAGCAGGCATCACAGAGACCACAGGACATGGAATCATCTGAAGAGTTCCCCCTCCATCTGACTGGCATCAATACATATTCACTCACCACCAGACACTTAGCACCTGCTTGGACCCAAGCGCTGTGCTGCCCTCGTGAAGGTACAGTGTGCGCAGGGCAGGCACTTTATTCAAGAAGTTTTTAGGGAAGAAAAACACATAGACCAGGAAGTATAAATTTGGGGGCGCTGAATTCCTTTTCCCTTGTTCATTTCGTCTATTTTAAGATTCAAGACGGCTTACATACTGTGTTCGATTAGTTTCAGGTGTGCAGTACAGGGGTTTAGCAATTCTATATATATTATCCGTGCTCTTCAGTGTGGGTGCAACCCTGCTCCCCTTCACCTATTCCCCATCCCCACTCCCCTCCCCTCGGAGAACCAGAAGTGTGTTCTCTATAGATAGCAGTCTGTTTTTAACTTTGTCACTTATTTCTGTTAGTTTTCTTTGTTTCTTCAATTCCTCATATGAAGGGGGCCACTGGGTGGCTCAGCGGCTGAGCGTCTGCCTTTGGCCCAGGTCGTGACCCCGAGGTCCGGGATCAAGTCCCATGTCGGGTTCTCTGCATGGAGCCTGCTTCTCCCTCAGCCTGTGTCTCTGCCCCTCTCTCTGTGTCTCTCATGAAAAAATAAATAAAATCTTTTTTTTTAATTCCAGGTATGAAGATGTCATATGGCGCTAATCTTTCTCTGATTATTTCACTCACCATCATACTCTCTAGCTCCATCCATGTTGGTGCAAATGGCAAGACTTCAGTCATTTTTATGGCTGAGTAATATTCCATTGAGCGTGGATACCACACCTTTTTCATTTTTCCGTGTTCATCTCTCTATGGACACTTGGGCTGGTTCCATACATTGACTACCGTAAATAATGCTGGAGTAACATTGAGGTGCATGTTTCTTTTCATTAGTGCTGTTACATTGTTTGGGTAAATAGTCAATAGTAGAATGACTGAATCATATGATAATTCTGTTTTTAATTTTTTAAATTTTATTCATTTATTCATGAGAGACACAGGCAGAGGGAGAAGCAGGCTCCATGCTGGGAGCCCAACGAGGAACTCGATCCCGGGTCTCCAGGATCACGCCCTGGGCTGAAGGCGGTGCTAAACCGCTGAGCCACCCGGGCTGCCCTGTTTTTAATTTTTTGAGGACCCGCCTCACTGTTTTCCACCATGGCTGCACCAGTCTACGTTCCCACCAACAGTGCACAAGAATTCCCTTTGTTCCACTCCCTCTACGACACTTGTTTCTTGTGTACTTTTGAATTCAGCCAATGTGACAGGTGTGGGGTGATATCTCATTGTGGTTTTGATTTGCATTTCCCTGGTGATGAGTGATGTTGAGCCTTTTTTCCTGTGTCTGTGTCTGTTGGCCATATGGGTGTCTTCTTTAGGGAAATGTTTACTCATGTCGTCTACCCATTTTTTTTCTTGTATTTGTTCTTGTGGTGTTGAGTTGCACAAGTTCTTTATGTATTTTGTATAGTAGCTCTTTATTGAATATATAATTAGGAAATACCTACTGACATTCGGTGATCGCTCTTTAGCTTTATCGATTCTTCTTTCTGTACAAAAGAATTTTATTTTGATATATTCCCAAGAGTTCATTTTTGCTTTTGTTTCTTTCGCCTCTGGAGACGTATCTGGAAAAATGATGCTGTGGCTAATGTCTGAGACCTTAATATCTGTGCTCTCTTTTAGGATTTTATAGCTTTAAGTATCACATTTAGGTCCTTAATCTACTTTGAATTTATTTTTCTGTCTGGTATAAAAAAGTCATCCCGTTTCATTCTTTTGCATTTAGTATCCAGTTTTCACAACATCATTTGTTGAAGAGACTTTCTATTTCCCATTGTATATTCTTGCCTCCTTTGTCAAAGTTTAATTGACCATAAAATCATGGGTTTGTTTCTGGGCTCTCTCCTCTGTTCCATGGATCTATGCGTCTACTTTTATGCCAGTACTATAATATTTGATTACTGCAGCTTTGTCGTATGACTTGAAATCTGGAATTATGACGCCTTCAGCTTTGTTTTTCTTTTTAGATTGCTTTACCATTCAGAGTATTTTGTGGTTCCATACAAAGTTTAAGGTTGTTTGCTCGAGCTGTGTGAAAAATGCTATTGATATTTTCAAGAGATTACAAAAATCTGTAGATTCCTTTGGGGAGTATGGATATGTCAGCAATATTTGTTCTTCCAATCCATGAACATGGAATGTCTTTCCATTTCTTTGTGGCCCTTTCAATGTTTTCATCAATGTTTTATAGTTTTCAGAATCCAAATCTTTCAATTCTTTGGATAACTGTATTGCTAGGTATTGCATTATTTTTGGTGGAATTGAAATGGGTCAATTTTCTAATTTCTCTTTATGCTGCTTCACTCTTAGTGCATAGAAATATCAGAATGTGTAGTCTGCTCTTTTAGGATGGAATGGTCTGAAATATCATTTATCTATCCGGCTCAATGCATCACTCAAGGTGATTGTTTCTTTGTTAATTTTCTGCTTGGATGATCTGCTTACCAATGCAAGTGGGGAATTAAAGTCCCCTACTATTATTGCATTACTATGGATTACCTCCTTCGTGCTTGTTACCAGTTTTTGAGCGCTCCCATGTTAGGCACATAAATATTTACCTTTATTATATCTTCTTGTTGCACTGTTCCCTTTATTATTATATAGAGTCCTTCTTTGCCTCATGCTAGTCTTTCTGGTAAAGTCCATCGTGTAGGATAGAAGCATTGCTATCTTGGCTTTCAGTTCAAAGCCATTTGCTTGATAAATGTTTCTCCACCTCTTCAGCTTGAATCTCATGTGCCTTTAGGTCTGAAATGAGTCTCTTGTAGGCAGCATATGGATGGATCTTGCTTTTTTATCCATCTCATCACCCTATGTCTTTTGATTGGAGCATTTAATCCATTTACATTCAATGCAATTATTGATTGGTATGTACTTATTGTCCCCTTGTTACTTGTTCTATGACTCTATTTGTAGTTCTATGTTCTTTTCTTTTTTTTTTTTTTTTTTGCTCTTTTCTCCAATGGTTAGTTGGCTTCTTCAGTGATATATGTGGATTATGTCTCTTGAATTTTTACATACATATTACTAATTTTCAATTTCTAGTTATTAATCGGTTTGTATAGAACAGCTTTTGTATATAGCAGTCAGTATCAAGTTAAGGTCACTTTACGCACCTTTTACTCCTTTCCTGACCCTCACCTATGTTTTAGGTATATTTTGTCGTAGTTTACAACCTTTTATTTTGTGAGTCCCTTAACTGACGTTTACGAATATCCTTATTTTTATTGCTTTTATGTTTCCTTTCCTTTTGATCTTTGCTTTCCACTCAGAGTCCCCTTTAACATTTCTTGCAGTGTTGGGTTAGTGGTCATGAATTCCTTTAACACTAAAGTGTCTGAGAAACTCTTTATCCCTCCTTCTATTCTGAATGAGTCTTGGTGGCTAGAGTAATCTTGGCTGCAGTTTTCCCTTTCAGTACTTTGAATACATCATGCCATTTTTTTCTAGCCTGCAAAGTTTCTGCTGAAAAATCAGCTTCATGGGTTTCCCTTCTATGTCTTCTTTTCTTTTGTTGGTTTTAAAATTCTCCTGTATCACTACTTTTTGCCATTAAGGATCAGAAAACACTAGTTTTAACCCTATTTGAGGAAATGAGAATCTTACACTGGTTCCTTTAGGACACAAGCGTGTGCTAATGATCAAGAAGTTCACACACAGAGTCCTACTGCAATCTTCCATTATTTGAAATAAGAAACCACTGAGAATTTGTACCAAGTGGATTAAGTAGCATTCTGGATTCACAGATCCAGATTCCCTTCTTACTGTTGCTCATGAAATGTTCCATTCTGTTTAATCGTGAGCTGGCCTATGCTGGACAACTGACCTTCCTCTTTCATGGTGTTCCTAAGTATTTAAAGGCTCCTCAATATGTTGTTATGCTTTATATCATCTGTATATATGTGTTTGGGTTATTTACCTGGTTACTTCTTAGTTGACCAATAACCGTAAATAATCTCAGTCTAATGAAAGGAAGGAAATATTTTTTTAGAGAGTATGGATTGGAACATAGAAACCTAGAAGGAAATCACTCCCATACTTAAGATTACCAAAAGCTGGATAATCAGCATCACTTTTCTTGAATCCATCAGGCAGCTGAAGGACCAGGGCAACTTGTTAACCCAAAATCTAGGGAAATACAAAGTCCCCCCAGACAACAGGATATGTATACAGGTCACTTTTATGCAATGAACCTGAGCAACAGAAACCTAAGCAAGGTAAGAGAGCCCACAGTGACCCCATACCCCCTGGTGAATATAAACAGGCCCATTAGGTGACCCACCTCAAAACACCCATTAGCCTTAGCTGACCAGTGGGTTAGTTACACCCAGACCAGGTACCAAAAAGGGAAAACTCCTTATGGTCTCATACCTGCTCACCTTCCCCTTAACTGCAGCTGCCCATCACTGCCTCCTCCCAGTCACTCCATTATCGTCCTGCCCACAGCTCCTTGACAGTTTATTCAATAAATTTCTATCTTCTTTGTTAATTCTATCGCTTGTGCCACTGGCCTCCACCCTATTGGATCAGCTCAGATATGGTGGCCCGAATGAGAAGACCTGGCTGGCTCTGGGCTCTCGCCAGATTCTCTCGGAATTTCTTGAGACTTGCCCTTAATGGACTAACTCCAGTTACTTCTTGGAGAACTGATGACCTGTAGCCAAGGTCAGTCTTGGTGAATATTCGAAGCCACTGGAGGAACCAGCAGACCTCCCTTGCCCAAAGGATGATGGATTTTACCCTCTTGCCCTTCAGAAGGATCCTTCTATCCCTCTCCTTTTGCCATTTGGCCTTTCTGCAACCTATCCCTGGTAATTCCCAGACAACTGAATATCTTTGGCCAGTGCAGCTCCCCAGGTCGGTTTGAAAGTCTGACAGCAAGCAGGTCAGACAGTCCACGCGTATGAGGGTGAAAGATACCTTTTTCTCCTATTTCCCACTCTGTCTCTCTGAGGTTCCCATTTCCAATGTAAGGAAATCATGCCAGCGGCAGCTCATCTAGGGCAAAGCTGTACACATTACAGACTCAGTTAGGATCATTTAGGGACCTTGGCTGACTCAGCCACCTTACCTTCTTCAGCTCTCATCCCTTTATTCCTTTGTTCCTGTGGGTGCAGCCACCACCTTGATCTATAGGCAAAATACATTCCTATGTGTCAGAGTGGTGAGACCTCTAAAACTCCATCCAGTCTTTGAGTCCACTGGTTGTAAAAACTCATGAAAATCAGCCCCTCTTGTTTTTCCAGTCATTGGCTTTGGAGAACTGTTTTCCTTGTGTGATCTCCTGATCTCTCTCTCTCTCTCTCTCTCTCTCTCTCTCTCTCTCTCCTCTGTCATTGACCAGGGTTCCCTCCACTCCACAGCACTCACAATCCATATATCTTCCAAATCACAGCTCTGGACATCCTACCTTCCATGATGTGGCCCCTTCACTGCCCTAGCTGTGCACTTTTCTACAGGCCTCAGGTTGATTTCTGGGGTATTCAGAATGATTTGATATTTATGCAAAACTTCATCTATACAATTTCTCAGCCTTCTTGGAGGCAGCTTTCATCCTCAGGCTTGATTCTCTGGTGCAGAAAAATGGGTTGTACTTCTCTCACGTTTCTTGCCCTGACCTTATCATCCAGGAAAAGAATGAGCAACTCATTCCCCTGCCATCAACCAAGAGAAACAGGCAACAGGCCACTCCCATAAGTGTCTGCAACTAAATAACTGGAATGGTCACAGCCAAAACTGTTTCTCCTCAAGGGCTCAGATACATCAGCAAAGACCCAGAGGAGTGTGAGTTCCCTAGGCCAGGAGACAACTTTTAACAGGAAGATTATCAAACATCCTAACTACCATAAACATGTCAAGAAGCAAAAGAAGAAAAACGTATAACTGTGGGATAGAGTCAACACAGATTTTTACTGAGGACATATGCCATGTAGTGAGACACCTCGCCAAGAATACAAATACTAAAAAGACGTGGACTTAGTTCTTAAGAATCCTAATATTAAAAAAAAAAGAATCCTAATATTGCACTGGGTGTTATTCTGTATGTTGGCAAATTGAACACCAATAAAAATAAATATATTATTAAAAAAAGAATCCTAATATTAGAGGAGAAAAGGAACATAACTGGAGGTAATGAGGAGTGGGCTGGGAAACACAGATTTACAAAAGGTCAGGAAAAGGGGGTAGAGATTCTCAACAGGCAGAGACTGCTTCTACTTGTGAATCAGGGAGGGCCCTCTGGAGGACATGACATTTGATGTCTCTCGATCCATGTAGGCGCTGGAACATCATTCCATTCAGAGATAAATTTGAGATTTAAATTCCAGAATTAAGTCAGAACAACAAAACTCACTAAATGATGCTTAGCTTATATTGACAACTGATCATTAAGAAGAAATGAACACAGAGTTGCGCACGGGGAGTGGCCAGGACATCAGTGCTGAGCTGGGTTTAGGTCCTGGGGCCTGGGTGGCTGGGATCTCGCTCCGAAGGGAAGTCCGTGCACTGAGGTCTCTAATGGGCTTTCCTGGAGGAACAAAGAGGAGGCCCTCTGCAGCAGGTGGAGAGGAGGCTGCAGGGGGGAAGGGCATGGGTGGCAGGAGGGCTGAGGACACACGGAAAGGTGGGGAGACACATGGGAAGGAGCAGGAAGGGGGCTCCAGAGACTCACCAGCGCTTCCAGAGCCACCACGCCAGGCCTGCCAGGAGCACCAGGGGTACGATCACGACCAGGAAGACCAAGCCCATGGAAGGGGGCCGCTCTGTGGGGTTGGGCACAGAGGGTGTCATTTCCCTTCCATCCGGGGTTGAACTGCAACTCCCTGCTCCTCCACTCTTGTCACCCTCTCCTTGACCAACCGCCCTTCCCCCTTTCCCTTCTCCCATCCCTCCTCAGAGATGGACACTTCACCTAACCCTCCGCATCCTCCCACATCTGCAGGACCCCCACCCTCAGCTCTTCCATTTATGGATTACTGAGTATTTTAGTCCTCTTTGGTCTGGAGCCACCAGAACAAATATTTCATCAGGCTCCCAGCTCTGATGGATGACCATTTACCATGTTGCCCAGCCTGGCCCCAGTCCTTCCTCACCCCAGTGGAGGACCATGTCCTGGCCTCCTAGACTGCTGTGTCTCACACGGCAGGACAGGCCAGCTGCCTCCTTGGCTTTCACATCCAAGGACACCTGAAGGTACCACGTGCCGTCAGCATGGGGCAGGACGTCACCTCGCTGGGAGCCTGTCTCCTCCTGCTCGCCCCGCATCCACATCACCCACACAGGCTTGGGGTAGAAACCGGAGACGTGGCACACCAGCTGCAGACAGCCAGGCCCGGGGCTGGGGCGAGCGGACAGCCAGGCCTCGGGCCTCACTGCGGACACAGGACAGGGATTCACAGACTGAGGGGAGGTGCTCACATCACGTTAGACAGAAACACCTTTCCGCCTCTAGAAATCTCCACCATCATCCCCTCTCCCTCTTGACTCCATCTTTTCCTGAATTTGAAGGAAACATTGCAAATTTATGAGTGCAGAAGAGAGAATTATGGAAGGAGGGAGCCGTATTCACCTTGTTGCTGGAGATCCGCCTTCCCTGCGTCGAGAAGACCCAAGAAGAAGCGGGGGATGATGTTACTGATGTGCACGTGTACTATTTTATTGACCACGTGGTACTGATTTAATAGTTTGCAGACCATTTGAGCCCTACTTCCTCCCTCTGGAGATGGCCACCATGACGTATTCTGGAAGCTCAGGAGATCAGATCCTTGATAAGCCATCCGCAAGTAGCACTCTAAAACTTTCCCAAAATGCAGCTCACAGCCTTTGACTACTTGTACCTGAAAGGGATCTGGAAAAAGAAATTGTGAGTTACAGGACAGGGTGAGTGAAAGAGATGAAATGAGATGAGTGGATGCCAGGGATGGTGTAAGCAGAGGGAGAAGTTCAGGGGATTGGAGGGAACCAGTAGACAGGCTCAGACAAGGGGGGAACTGGTGGTCATTGGAGGCGAAGGAAGAGGTGAACGATTGAAGAAGGAACAAATGATGGAGGAGAGATATGAAAGATGTGGGCATAATATAGGGAACAGCTCAGTGGGAGAGCTGGGCTAGAAACAACCTACAGTGAAGGGAGAGCAGTGGGGTACAGGGAACACGTAGGCAGACATGCTGGTGGGATAGGATGGGGAGCAAGGCAGAGTCAAGGAGTCAGTCACAGAGCAAGGGAGCAGAGGTGCCTGGTTGGAGGCCAGGGAAAGGGGTGGTCATGGGAGAACTAGTGGGACAGGAGAGCCCAGCCTGTGGTCAATGAGAGGAGCAGGTCGGAGCAAAAGATGTGAAGCTTTTCAAGAATTGGGGTCTGGCTTTTACCCCCAGCACAAATGGGTGCAATTCAGTTGTATAATAGGAGAACAAGAGTTTTAGATGCCAGTAGAGGCTCTTTCCTAGAGGAAAAAGGAGCTCAAGAGACATACAGACTCGCCATTTCAATCCCACCTGCCCATATGGACCCGAACTCACACTCAAGCTGCCATTGGCTGACATGCTTATGAAATATTGAAGGAAATCCAGTGAAGGCTAAATGCAAGCTCCTTTCTTGTTCCTTCAGCTCCTCATTGCTGAAGTTGCTCTTGGACCAAGGCTTCAGGTAAGTGAAAATACCAGTCTTGGGGTTCCAGCCATGAGTCTGCAGCTCATCCAGCCAAGCTGAGCCTTGATTCTGCGTCCAGGAATGGTTGTAAAAGGATGTGGTCAGGATAATTCGGAAGGAGATTGGGTCCTGGAAGTCTGTGGGAAAGAGCAGATGGACTGGAAGAGGAGGACACTGGGAAGGAGAAAGAATGGAGATAAGGTGCCGAGGATGGGACCCAAAAATCTGGAGGACAGAGAAGCCATAGTTGTCTCAGGAGAAACGTGCTGCCCCAGAGCCTGAGCCTCGTACCCATCCTTCAGGAGAGCACAGGGCTGGGGATGATCAGGAAGGAACCAGGCTGACTCTCTCCCTGCCCAGGTCTGTGCTGGGAACCCAAGGAACAAGTGCACACATGTACAGACATAAATGCACACAAGTACGTACACCCCACAAGTACACAGATGCACATGAACACATATATGGATACACAAACCTATAAACTTCCATACATTAACAAACTCTTACACCAATAAACATACATGTGCATATGCACACAAGTATACAAAACAAAGACATGCATACACATGTACAAACTCATAATAAAAGAGACGCATACATAGAGACAAGGACATGTACACACGTACACATACACAGACCTGCAGACACGAAAACACACACAAAGACACACACACAGGCATCTAATACACACACAGAAACTGACACATACCTACATGTACACATACAATCACACAAGCACAAGAACACACACACACACACACATGCACACGTGCGCCCACTAGGCAGGACCCGAGCTCTCACCATCTTCGCTGTCACCCCCTGGGAGGAGAACCGCCAACAGCACAAGTTGCAGGAACAGCATCTTGTTTGCAGATGTTCTTTCTCTTGCAAAGTCGCTCTTTGACTTCTGTCCTCACACACCGACCCCCTCCCAGCCCCTCTCCTCTGACTTCCTCTCCACACACAACCCTTCCCTGAGTCTCTGCGACAATGCAAATGTGCTCCTCCCTCAGCCCTGGACACCTACTCAGTCTCACTTCCCCTCCTGCTCTGCCTCCCCTCTGGCCTCCAGCTTCTCCCTGTCACCAGCGTCCATCCCGCCCCTGCCCCCTGATTCAGATGCTACAGACCAAGTCCTGTGTGGCCTGGAAAAAGTGGCCCCACCTCTCAGCCCTTTCTTCTCACCCAGACAGTAACCCAGGAAAACACCCAGCTCTCAGCACCAGCCCTGGACCTGCTGTCCCTCTGTCCCTCCTGCCCTGTGACACCCCCCTCCCAGGTATTCCCTTCCCCGTCCCACCCCCACCCCAGGTCCTTCACATCCCTGACTTCTCACTGCTTGTGCCAAAAAAAAAAAACAACCAAAGAATTCAATTCAGAGATCCACCTGGTTTTATTAAGTGATTCAAGAATGGGGCAGCCTTCCACCTGGCAGGTAAGGGGAGCTCTGAGCTGTGGTGCAAATGGAGAGTTTTCATAGGAAGGAAGTCGGTGAGAGAAGAGAAAGGAGTGTTTCAGGGAAGGTCCCTTACCCTTAACGGGGAGAGCAGGGGATCTAACCATGCAGATGACCTCCCCTCCGTGGGGATGGAGAGGGCGCATGTGACAGAGAACCTCCCTGGGCCAAACCAGAGAATCCTTCACTGATGGTGAAGACTTCCCTTTCTGGGGGAGGTGGGAACTGCAGCTGGTTAGAGATTAAGCCAGATCTGGGGACTTGGTCTGGACCAAGGTGCCATTTGGCCCAAGGGAAGGGTCTTCTTTTCCACAGATGCTCTATTTGCTTGTCCAGATTCCCCATGATTGTAGCAGCCTCAGCAACCCCCAGTCCTTAAAACATCAGAAGAATACCCTCTCCATTTGACCTGCATTAATATATATTCTCTCGCCACCAGTCACTTAGCACCTGCCTGGACCCAAGCAATGTGCTGCCCTCGTGAAAGTACCGGGTGTGCAGGGCAGGCACTGTATTCAAGGAGCATTGAGGCTACCTGGGAAGAAAAACGCATAAACTAAGAATATACATTTTAGAATGCTGGGTTAGGTTTTCTTTCTTTGGTTATTTTTTTAATTCCACTCTAGTTAACAATGTTATTTGAGTTTATGGTGTAGAATAGAGTGATTGAGCAATTCTATACCTTATCAGTGCTCATCAATGTTAATGGAATCCTAACCCCCTTCACCTGTTTCCCCCACCTTCTCCACTCACCTCCCTTTGGGAACCAGCAGTGTGTTCTCTGTAGATAAGAGTCTGTTTTTGTCACTTGTTTCTTTGTTCTTTTGTTTTGTTCCTTAAAGTCCACATGTGAATGAGACCATTTGGTATTTGTCTTGATCTCATTGACTTACATCACTTCCCATCATGTTCTCTAGCTCGATTCATGTGGCTAGTGGAGAGATCAGTTATTTTTATGTCTGAATGATATTCCATTGTGTGTACATACCACACCTTTTCTTTTCATTCATCTATCTATGGATGCTTGGGTTGTTTCTGTATGTTGCCCACTTAGTACATAAGGCTGCAGTGTACATCAGGAGGCATGATTCTTTTCAATGAGCTGTTTTCACATTCTTTGGGTAAATATCCTATAACACACACAAAAAAATCCAGTAGTAAAATTGCCAGATCTAATAGTAATTCTGTTTTTAATTTTTTTGAGGAGCCTCCGTAGTGCTTTCCATGGTGGACATACTAGTTTACACTCCTCCCAACAGTGGGTAAGTGTTCTTCTTTCTCGACAGACTCATCAACATTTGTTTCTTTCATGGTTTTTGTCTTGTTTGCTTTTAATTTATCCAGTGTGACATGTGTGAGATGACATCTCATTGTGGTTTTTGATTTCTATATCTCTGATGATGAGTGACACTGAGCATTTTTTCATCTGTGTGTTGGACATTTGCATGTTTTCTTTGGAGAAATGGCTATTCATGTACTCTGTCCATTTCTAATTGGATTATTTGCTCTCTTAGGTGTTGAGATGTACAAGTTAGTTATATATTTTGCATCCTATTCACTTACCACATATGTTATTAAAATGCCTACTCATATTCAGGAGATTGTCTTTTAGTTTTGTTGATTATTCCCATTGCTGTGCAGAAGCTTTTTATTTGGATGTGCTCCCAACAGTTGTGTTTGTTTATTTTGTTTTGTATTTTAATTGTGTTTCCTTTGCCTGAGGAGACATATCTAGAAAAATGCTTCTAGTGCTAATGACAAAGACCTTATTGCTTCTGCTGCATTCTAAGATTTTTATGATTTCAGGTCTCACACTTAGGTCCTTAATCTACTTTGACTTTATTTTTCTATGGCATAAAAAAGAGGTCCAATTTCCTTCCTTTACATGTAGCTGCCTGGTTTTCCCAACACCATTTGTTGAAGAGACTTTCTTTTTTTTTAATTTGTTTTTATTGGACTTTGATTTGCCAACATATACTATAACACCCAGTGCTCATACAATCAAGTGCCTTCGCAACACCTATCACCAGTTACCCCAACCCCCACCCCAAAAATCTCCCTTTCTGCAACCCTTTCTTCATTTCCCAGAGTTAGGAGTCTCCCAAGGTTTGTCTCTCTCTCTAATTTTTTCCCACTTGGTTCTCCTCCTTTCCTCTTTAATCCCCTTCATTATTTCTTATATTCCCTGTATGAGTGAAACCATATAATTGTTGTTCTTCTCCAATTGACTTACTTCACTCAACATAATGCCCTCCAGTTCCATCCACCTTGAAGCAAATGGTGGGTATTTGTCATTTCTAATGGCTGAGGAATATCCCACTGTACACAGAAACCACATCTTCTCTATCCATCATCTTTCAATGGACACCAAGGCTCCCTCCACAGTTTGCCTATCGTAGACATTGCTGCTATAAATATAGGGGTGCAGGGGTCCCAGCGTTTCACTGCATCTGTATCTTTGGGGTAAATCCCCAGCAGTGCAATTGCTGGGTCATAGGGCAGGTCTATTTTTAACTCTTTGAGGAACCTCCACACAGTTTTCCAGAGTGGCTGCACCAAGTCACATTCCCACCAACAGTGCAGAGGTTTCCCCTTTCTCCACATCCTCTCCAACATGTGTTGTCACCTGTCTTATTAATTTTCCCCATTCTCACTGGTGTGAGGTGGGATCTCATTGTGGTTTTGATTTGTATTTCCCTGATGGCAAGTGATGCGGAGCATTTTCTCATGTGCTTGTTGGCCACGTGTATGTCTTCCTTGGTGAAATGTCTGTTCATGTCTTCTGCCCATCTCATGATTGGATTTTTCCTGCTTTGCTGTTGAGTCAAATAAGTTCTTTATAGATCTTGGATACTAGCCGTTTATCTGATAGGTCATTTGCAAATATCTTCTCCCATTCTGTAGGTTGTCTTTGAGTTTTGTTGACTGTATCCTTTGCTGGGAAAAAGCTTCTTATCTTGATGAAGTCCCAATAGTTCATTTTTGCTTTTGTTTCTCTTGCCTTCATAGATGTATCTTGCAAGAAGTTGATGTGGCCAAGTTCAAAAAGGGTGTTGCCTGTGTTCTCCCCTAGGATTTTGATGGATTCTTGTCTCACACTTAGATCTTTCATCCATTTGAGTTTATCTTTGTATATGGTATAAAAGAATGGTCTAGTTTCATTCTTCTGCATGTGAATGTCCAATTTTCCCAGCACCATTTATTGAAGAGACTGTATTTTTCCAGTGGATGGTCTTTCCTGCTTTGTTGAATATTAGTTGACCATAGAATTGAGGGTCCACTTCCTGATTCTCTATTCTGTTCCATTGATCTATGTGTCTGTTTTTGTGCCAGTACCATGCTGTCTCGATGACCACAGCTTTGTAGTACAACCTGAAATCTGGCATTGTGATGCCCCCAGCTCTGATTTGTTTTTTCAATATTCCCCTGGCTATTCGGGGAATATTCTGATTCCACACAAATCTTAAGATGATTTGTTCCAATTATCTGAAGAAAGTCCACGGTATTTTGGTAGGGATTCCATTTAATGTGTACATTGCCCTGGGTAGCATTGACATTTTCACAATATTAATTCTGCCAATCCATGAGCATGGAATGTTTTTCCCTCTCTTTGCGTCTTCCTCAATTTCTTGCAGAAGTGTTCTGTAGGGTTTAGGGTATAGATACTTTACCTCTGTGGTTAGGTTTATTCCTAGGTATCTTATGCTTTTGGGTGCAATTATAAATGGGATTGACTCCTTAATTTCTCTTTCTTCAGTCTCATTGTTAGTGTATAGAAATGCAACTGACTTCTGGGCATTGATTTTGTATCCTGCCACACTGCCGAATTGCTGTATGAGTTCCAGCAATCTTGGGGTGGAGTCTTTTGGGTTTTCTATGTACAGTATCACGTCATCTGAGAAGAAGGAGAGTTTGACTTCTTCTTTGCCAATTTGAATGTCTTTTATTTCTTTTTGTTGTCTGATTGCCGAGGCTAGGATTTCTAGTACTATGTTGAATAGCAGTGGTGAGAGTGGACATCCCTGTCTTGTTCCTGATCCTAGGGGAAAGGCTCCGAGTATTTCCCCATTGAGAAGGATATTTGCTGTGGGCTTTTTGTAGATGGCTTTTAAGATTCTGAGGAATGTTCCCTCTATCCCTACACTCTGAGGAGCTTTGATCAGGAATGGATGCTGTATTTTGTCAAATGCTTTCTCTGCATCTATTGAAAGGTTACTATGCTTCTTGTTTTTTCTCTTGCTGATGTGATCTATTACATTGATTGTTTTACTAGTGTTGAACCAGCCTTGCATCCCAGGGGTAAATCCCACTTGGTTATGGTGAATAATCTTAATATACTGTTGGATCCTATTGGCTAGTATCTTGTTGAGAATTTTTGCATCTGTGTTTGTCAGGGATATTGGTCTATAATTTTCCTTTTTGGTGGGGTCATTGTCTGATTTTGGAATTAAGGTGATGCTGGCCTCATAAAACGAGTTTGGAAG